ACACTCTCTGATTGCAGTTCAATTACTCATTACCTTGTTTGTCCCGTCACGTTGTGAACGTCTTATATATACAAGACTAACACATATTTAGTAAATGCTAAGGCATTCTTGAAGTAACAGGATATTTCTAGAAAAAGGTGGCGTGATACTAGTCACGTGACCTCGCTGACGCAACAATATAAATAATGAAATAACTGTTTAATTGGTTGCAATTTATCATTGAGTTATCTAGATTAATATAACATACAGACAACAAAAGAATATTTGGTTCTTCAAGACTGTCTCCTCACACTTATTCTTGAAAAAGTAACATTTTAAACACACTCTTTATTTTTCAACGAAAATATTTGATATCCCTCTTAAACTCCTGCAAAGTGCTAGCCTTTGCTACTGCAGAAGGCAAACTCTTTCTATAAGCAGGTCACTTTGTTAGAAAACTAAAACTAGAGCCCTATGTGTATTTTCTAAATCTTGAAATTGTATCCATTCGTCGTGTTCTATTACTTTCAGAATACAGTACAAAGAACAGTTGTGACAATGTTCGAAGTTTAGAAAATCTACTATTTGCATGTAAAAACAAAAAACATATGTTTTTAATGCATAACATACATGTTTACACTTGCAGTGTAATGATTCTGTGATGGAGGTGTGAGCGGGAACCAGCTCCTAGGAGGAACAAGAATTTGTCTAAGAAATTATGCAGATGAGCATAATAAATATTTTGATTCTTAAGTAGAAAAACAATACAAGTACATTTTTTTAACGAGTACAACTTGTTAATGTAAAAAATGGCAATATTACATAATGGTGTCATTGTTGTCGAGCCATGTGATATGTCTTGTCACTCTTAAAATGCTCCCTACAGGTTTGCAAAAAATCATATGCCTTTATCCTATCTATTCCCCGATAATTTTGTAAATTTCAATAACATCACCTCTTATATTTCTTTTCTTATGAGAAAATAAATTTAGACGTTTTAACCTATCACTATAGGATAACTCTTCCATCCTAGTAGTTCTCTAAACTCTTTCCAAGAAGTCAATATCCTTTCTTAGATAAGGAGCCCAAAACCCTAGAGAGTATTCTAAATGGTGTTTAACTAGATATTTGTATAGAAATAATTATCATTTTTGACCATAAATAGATCCTGAAATTCTATTGCCTTTATTACTAGCAACATTTAACTGCTTCAATGGCTTGTATGACTTATCAGTCATTATGCCGAGATCCTTATCTTCAGTCGCGCTATTAAATGGATTTCCATCGTTATTAAATATGTGATCTAAATTAATGATAAACCACATTAAGTGACTTGTATATAATGTAGTTAAAGGTCATTTGGCAAATATTTATCCAACATATTAATTGATCAAAGACACTCAGTAATACTTCAATACTTTCCAAACAGCTAGGGAAATATCGGAGAGTTTAATATCGTTTACAAACTTTAAAAACTTCCTTATTATTCCATTATAATATCACTGCATATAAAAAAAAGCAAAATGGTACAAGCATTAACCAGTGAGACACTTTACTAATACTTTTGACTGCATTCTATTTATAACAATATTTTGCTTTCTTCCATTTAAAAAAGTTTTTTCTCAATTCCTATCGACCTATTTTTCTTATAGTGTTTTCTGTGGAACCTTAACAAATATTTTTTTAAATCTAAATATCCCAAGTCCTAATACATTTATTGTCAAGATAAAAAGTAACATTTTTGAAAAGAAAGAAAGGTTTTCTCAGTTGCACTGATTTACCTTTCAGGGTGTAGTTGCAAGTAACATGAGGAACAACTAGGATATATTATTGAGTAAATCTGAATTCTCCTGCTTTTACTGAGTTTGAAGATAGAGACTAAACACAATATGATAAAAAGTAAAAATAAATCTTTTTGAAAAGGCAATTAAACTGGACGAATGAACTAAACAGAAGACACCTTTTATTAGAGGTTAAGACTGAGTTGTTAATTAGAATTTGTTCTAGATTAAGATAGCATAATATTATATACAATATCATATAAAGTCATCTCTCCCAGTGTGTTTACACTTCATTGGTTACTGCTAGTCATTCCAATATAAAATTGGTAAGCTATATATCCTCAAGGTATCACCTGGCCCATCAGTGGTAAATATCACTGTCCATCTTTACATAATTTATTCTATTTTACCGTAACAGTTTCCCCGAAAAAAGCGCACTTGAACAACAAATCTTGTTTGTAATGGATCCAGAAGGTGAGACACTAGAGCAAAAGGAATTTAGTTACATTCTTTTACCAATGTTCCATTGTTAAAAATACACACATGGCTAGAAACATTGTGTGTGTGAAAATTATTTAAAATTCTTCGTGAACTAGAAATGTTCACTTTACTAACTAAAAATAAAATGACTAAGTATGCATTTGTATTCAAGAACAAGATGGCTTTTCCCAATATGTTCTATTAGAATTTTTGTGAAATTCCTGGGCGAACCCTATTATGAATCATATCATGGTTCATATTAATAATATGAAAACCAAATGGATGAATTTTGTATCTCAATCAGAAAATAAACTTTTTTTTGCTATCTATATAAATATAATAGTACTGTCTGTTGTATGTCCATGTTACTACTTCACAGGGAGCAGATGGATATTCACCAAACTTGGTATAAAGGATTATTAGGCCCATGCTGGGATACACACAAATTTTCATTTTTTTCATTTTATGTTCTGCAGTTTTTATGGGTGTTTTTTACCACTACTTCGCCCACTATTAATGGATCTTCACCAAATTTTGCATGAAGGTTTGTAGGGTTCATGTAGAAATACATGCAAATTTGCGGTTTCACATTTTGTATTTTGCAGTTTTTATGGGCGTTTTTGCATTTTTTACAATTACATATAAGCGAAGCAACTTTTCATGTCCTAATATAACCTGTCATTAATCATGAATTTACATAACTTCCGTTCAGTGGACGGGTACTCCAGCTAGTTATCAATATTTTAACAGTCATAGTCATTGAGATAAAAAGTCTTGAGTATTGTTTGAAGAACAAATCTGCATTTTAAGGTGATTTGTGTCAGTATTTTCAATTAACATTTTTTTGAAATTCCTGGGTGATTCCTACAATAAACCATTATCGTGGTTCATGATAATGTAACTATCTTATTCAAGTTATGGTTTTATTTATAAATACGAAACATTAAATATGATAAAATCCTTTGAGGACATATAATTGTAAAAGTATATAAAGTAATCTGTTTGCTATGCTATAATATTTGCCTCATTTAAATAATATTATAAATTAAGATAATATGTGTAATAAAAACTGAAATACATAATACACTATGCTATAATAGGTTTCTCATTAAAATAATGGTTTTACTTTTAGCCTTTTAGAACATATAATTAAATCTAGACGTGAAAACTACAATGTTGATGTCATAATCACATATTGAGCTCATCATCCTGTTGTACTTTCCATTTATAGAAACACTGTTCACTGCAGCAGTACTAACCTTCATAACATAATTTGCCAAGTAATACCACCCACCTATAGAGCCTTAATAACACAATCCACCAAGTAACACCACCTTCCTATGTAAAACACATGTAATACAGTAAAATATATAAATGAAATCTGTACACATATGTTCAGATGAGTCGAAACCTTTATGCAGTCCTACAGAAGTATACTAACACTGCCCACCTGCCTTTGTAAAACACACAAAATATGCCTAGCAAGACCATCCATTTATAGAAAAACTATCCTTAATAAGGCCACCACCTATACAAACACTAACCTTTT